AAATTACTGTTGGCTAGTAACAGGAACATGATCACTCATGGAGACTCATGGCATTTACAGGAAACCCAATGCAAACGCTTCTTGAATCATCATGCTTAAAAATGAAAGTAGCCTCTTGCACTGACATCTAATGTTCTCTGGTTCCCTATTGATTAAATAGGTGAGAACACCGCCCTTGGCCCTGGGGATTCAGACAGACCGCGCGTGAAAGGAGAAGACACAGGGGCTGCCCCTCCTTAGCCCTGCACCTGCCAGCCCCACACCCAGCAGGATGATTGGTGAGCACCCACAATGGGCTTCAGGGGCGCTCACAAAGTGCCCAAGCCAAAACACCGCATCTACAAATGCCAGTGATTCCTGAAGAGAGCCGTCTGTCCGTGGGCAGAAGACCCCTCCCCCACTCCGCAGGGCAGCAAAGACAGAAAAAAAAAAAAATAGCAGCAACCACCATCCAGAGTCCCAGGCACTTCCCAGGCCCTCACTGACTCCTTTCCCGCGCACGGCACCCCCATCCCCGCACTAGGCACCGGGTTCCTCACATGCGGATGAGGCACAGAGAGGTTAAGGCACCAGGGTCACAGGTGGAGCCAGGCCTGGGTCCTCGTAAACAGACCGCAGTGTCCCAGCGGCCAAGGCCCCGCAGTGAGTCCAGTTTACCCCGGGGCCGGTGGAAAGTGTTTATTTTCAAGGCTGCATTAAAATTGTCCCCAGGCACTGCTGCAAAGGAAACCTAAGCCCTCCTCCCACTCCCATCCCCCCAGCCCCACGCCCCCACAATGGTGCCAGGTCAGACAGTAAAACAAACAGACCCGCATCACTGAATCCGGGAAAAGATCCTCCTTCCTCCTCCCTAACAATCTCCTGAAAGAAGTCCCGCTTAGAATGTCAGCCACCCCAGCAGAAAGCAACCTCTCCACAACCCCTTTTGAAGAAATGTAGGCCCTGAGGGGAAGGGACAGGGGCACCCCCCCCCCCACACACTCCCTGACGCGGCTTCCAGGCCAGGGCGCTTGAACACCACACTCACGGCTCCTACGGGAGGGCGGGGGCTCCACCCCGCCGCCCCCCACCCGCTGCCCCACGCCAGGCCTGGACTCCAGAAGGCACTCGGTGAACTACAGCCACGGCGGCCTCCCGGCCTCGCTCCTTCGGGGGGGGGGGACCGTACAAAGGGTCCCCTGTGGGGAAGCCGGCATCGGTAACGTGGGCTGAGACTGCACCATAAACACATTATTTCCTGCAAACAAGTCGGCCCAGCTGGCCTCCAAGTTTCTCAAGGACAAGGACCTCACAGACAGGCTTCTGCTCTTGGAGCCTCCGGGCAGCCCCAGGCTAACCCGGGCAAAGAAGAGTCGTTTGTGCAAGGACACCTCGGTCTCAGATGCAGAGGCCTCAGGACCAGGCTCGGAGAAGCCCAACTGGCTGTGCAAGTCGCTCCCCAAGCCTCAGTTTCCCTACCCCTCTCCTGGGGGGCTGGGGAGATCAATTAAGATACGGTAGCTGGAAGGACCACCTTAAAAAGTCAGTGAATATTATGGCAAAGATGGGCAGAGGTTCAGCCACATCTTATACCAAGAACACTCCGCAAAGTTGCTCTGGCCGTTGTGGTTCAGCTGGCTGGGCAACGTCCTGCAAGTCAAGGGGTCGCCAGTTCGGTTCCCAGGCCAGGGCACATGCCTGGGTGGCTGCGGGCCTGGTCCCCAAGGGGCGTCCCCGATTGGGGCACATGCGGGAGACAAGTGATGTTTCTCTAGCACATCAGTGTTTCTCTCCCTCTCTTTCTCCCCTGCATCCCCTCTAAAAACAAATAAATAAACTCTTAAAGAACAAAATAAACACTCTTAAACAAAAGAATGCTTCATAAAGTCCTGTGCCTTTTCACCACCCCTGGCAACACAGGTCCCGCCACCAAAAGAGCAGAGTGGGGAGGAGAAAAGGAGTCGGAGGAGAGACCCGAGGACGTCCGGAGAACCGGCTTCGGCCAGCGCTCCCGAGAGGTCACCCTGCATTTCTGACCAACAGCTGTATTTCTTTGCTGCCCTTCCGAATTCCCTCTGGGCATGCTGAAAAGGCCACAAGATGGGTATGAGGAAGCAGCAAGGCCGCTCCAGGGGAAGGGGAAGGGGAAGGGGAAGGGGAAGGGGAAACGGGGCTAGAAGAGACCAAGCCAGGCCCCCGGGGAGAGGGAAGAACAGGAGAGTTGCAGGAACACACAGCACTGGGGAGAAAACAAGCGGAGTCAAGGGTCCATCTGCTGACTAGTCAGAGGGGCACCATCGAGGGGCACCAAATGTTGGAGGGGTGGCCCATCTGTCTACGGAAGGCATCCTGGCAGGACCAGGCTCCTAACACCTCAGCTTTGCAAGGAAAAGTGTCCCCCAGGGCCAGCCGCTGGACTCCTGTGAAAATAAGGAGGGGGCCCGCCTTCTGGTCACAGGTACTCAAAGGGAAAGGGCTGGCTTTCTGTGTGGGTCTCAAGGTCACCCGGCTGGATCCATTGCAGAAGTTCAAGGAAAGGAAGAAACGTGTGGGGCTGCCCTCTCCCCAGCCTGCTTCCCCATCTGTAAAACAAAGGGCTGGATGAGATGATCTTCAACATCCCTTCCGTCTCGGAGATTTTACAAAGCCTGACATTCAGCTAAACAACTCGTCCCGGTCCGTTCGGGTCAGCCTCTCTGGCGCTGACACGGCCCCAAACATTCAGAGCAGGGCCTGGAGTCGATTCCAAACATCTCTGGACTTTTTCATTGGGAAATTCACAGACAACTCACCATCCGTCAAAACAGGAGCGCTGTACCCCCAGATCGCGATTGTCAAAAACCTAACACTGTTCGGCCACATCGCCTCTTGGGGCCACTGAAATCCCACCAGCATTCCCAACCCAACACAACAGCAGCAAAGGGCTCTGGCCGCCCTCTTCAGGGTGCCTGCATTTTGCGCCCAGTAGAGAAATGTGGCCACCAGGGGGCGCGGCTCCAAAAATAATAAAGGAGAGATGAAACACAAAAAAATTTTTTGGTGTTTTCCTTCTTAAGCTTCAGTAACAAAATATCTAAAGCGTCCCTAATGAAAACACAAAATGGGCTTCCTGAGATCCTAGAATGACTTAGACACTTTCTTTCTTCTCCTCAAGGCCATTATTTTGGCCAGAAGGCAACTCAACTTTGAGGGCAACAACCCTTTCAGAGAAATTAACACTCCAGGCTGGATTTCCCCCAGAAGGGTTGATAGCATAGCTTCCCACGAACCCCCTGTTCAAGGGCAGGGGGTCCACGAGGAGGGAAAGCCCCTGTGCAAGTTTAGAAGGAGGACCTAGCTGCCGCGGCTAGGGCTGTTTTCACAAGAGCCTCCTCCAAATTACGAGCAAAACATACCAACCAGATGACAAGCCTCCTGGTTTAGCTGCAGGCACGGGATGACACAAATACAGCCAGACCTCAGGCAAAAGGGTGCAAGGTCTTAAATGGAATTTCCCAAGTCTCAGATGACTGCAGGGGGAGCTCCCGCACCTTGCACCAGAACTAGACTTCAAGAACGCATCCAAGGGGCTTCTCCACATTTCTTCAGTGGCGAGGGCACATTTTCCGTGAGGGTACATGCAGTGTAATGTTCAAGTGCCTTTTATTAAGGTTCCAAAAGTCCTCAGACCCATTTTCCAAGCTCTGGCTACGAGTTCCTCCTGATTTCCTTCATGTATTCATCTTGCCCCACTGACTGTGGAAAGCTTGCTTTCTCCTGGGGCAGAGGGCCCGAGAGGAGGCAGCCAGCTCCAGCCCCCGAGCAAGGATGCAGACCCAGGACCCGTTCTGTGCAAAGTGTGCCCCCCTGGCTGCTGGGAGAAGAAAGCCTTGCAGGGCTGGCACAGGGCAAAGGAGCACCAGGCCCTTGGGACAGGCAGGAGGGGCCCAGAGGTGCTGTGAGCACAGAGGCTACTGCTCCCCACACCAGGAGATAAGGAAACACCATCGTTTGATTCTTTGTGATGGCTGGGGACCCAGCGGGGATGAAAATGCAAGGGGGACCCATGTTCAAGAATCAGATCTACCAAAGCGGAGACACTGCCTAACAAAAGGTTTCCACCTAGAGTTTGCAAAAGGTTCGTGGAGCCCTGAATCCTCCTAGGCTTTCACTGAGAATCGGATTTAACTCACAGCTTCTCAAAGGCAAAGTCACAGTTGTGGGGCAAGGTGGGGCACCCCCGACCCAACACTGGATGCTTCTCTAATGGATTAAGAATGTGATCTTATTAAAACGCTTAAGTCTGCACCATTGAGCACCAGCACTGCGGGGGGGGGGACAAGTAGAGGAAGGCTATCCCATATCACATGCATTCACCCAGCACCTCCTCTGCACCTGCCACTCCCCACCCCTGGGTGGTACCCCACCTCTCTGCAGATCGATGCCCCTTCTCAGACACGTGTCCCGAAATCATCACCCTGGGCCAATTCTCAAGGCTGGCGGGAGGCTCTAATGAGACAGCAAATCACCACATACACGCCAAGGGCTGCTACTCGCTTCCTACGGGTGTAAACCAGTCACATGCAATGACAGCCTCAAGAGCTGCACTCGCTGAGCACGTAGTAGGTGGTCCGCAAAAATGGAACACTGGTGCCCTTCTGCGAGGAGAAGGGAACGGAACAACGGAAGAAAAATACTCCAGCCCAAAAGTAATCTCCAGCCACAGGCAGAGAGCTTGGATCCCCGGATTTCCCAGGTCCCTCCGCCACCTTCAGCAGCGCTCCCACGGCGCCCAGGGCAGCTGGAGGATTCCCCACCCGGGTCACAGTGCACCTGAGAGCCCTGGTCCGTGCCACACCGCCCTTACTGTCCACCGCTTCCCTCGAACACAGCCGGCGGCCAGCGCAGCCACCTGGCTCCTCGGACTCAGTGTCCTCGCTCACTGCTCCTTCCCGTTTTGTTCCAACCTCCCAAAAGAGCCGCTGGGGCTGAGCGGGGATCCGGCCGGGGTCCCCGAGCGTCGGAGCCCTGTCCCTCCTTACCTGCACAGCTCGGCGAAGGCCTGGAAATTGAGCTTCTTGATTTTCTTCTCGCTCAGCCAGTAGCCAACTCTCTTCCCTTTCAGAAAGGTCTGCATCTTCCTCCTCGGTCGGGGAGCTTGGGTCCGGAGGAAATCGCCCACAGGCCGACTCTGGCGGCCCGGCGCGCGCCGCGAGTGTGCGGGAACCTCCTCCCGGCGGCGGGGACGCGGAACGGGGCTCCGGGCGCAGTCCTGCCGGGAGGGGCGGGCCGGGGCGGGCCGGGGCGGGGCGGACGCCCGGGCGGGGGAGCGGTGCTCAGCGCGGCTTGCTACTGGCTGCCGCCGCTCGGGGGCCGCCCCTGCCGCCCGCCCGCGGGGCTCGCCGGCGAGCAAGTTCGCGAGCGCCGCACCGGGGCCGGGCCGGGAGGAGAGAAGGGAGGCCCTGGCTCACCAGAGTCGCTCAGCCCGTCTCCCTCCGGCCGCCCGGAGCCGAGCAGCCTGCCCCCCCGGCAACGGCGGCGGAGGATCGGCCCGGGGCTCTGGCTGCTCGCCGCCCCAAGTCCCTCCTCCCTCGCAGCCCCTCCAGCTGGCCCACCCTCCCAGCCCCAGGCGGCGCAGACGGCCGTTCCGAGCCGAGCGCGTGCCCTTCCCGGCACGCTCGGACCCCGGCGGGGCGCACGCGGCCCCCGCCCCGCCCACGGTCCTCACCCGCCGCGGCCACTTCCTCCTCGTCCTTGTCCTCGTCTTCGCGCACACTCGCCGACTCCGGCCCCACCGCCACCGTGCTGACCCAGCCGGCAGGCCCGCGGGACCCGCCGGGGCAGAGGAAGCGGGGCCGCGTCCACCGCCAGGGGGCAGTGCAGCCCGCCGCCTCTTAAAGGCGCCGCGCCTTTCCCCCGCCTAGTAATGTGGTGCTTATTTGTGTCGGGGCTCAGGCTGTTGAGCTTGGGGCTGGATTTAGGATGGCCCTCTTTCTAAGTGGCTTTACTTTTAAAAGCAGCGGTGTGGGCATTTTCCGCCTGCCCTTTGGGAGTGATCGAGCCACTGAGGTTTCATTCATCAGAGGCATTTCTGAATCCTCAGCAGTACTTAGCCCCTCCCCCGAGGTAATTCATCTGGGGCCGCAGCGGGCTGTGGGGGATCCAGACAACCAGTGAGATCATCTCTTCCCTCGAGGACAGACAGACCCAGGCCTATGATACTGGTCCCCGGGGCGGGAACGGGAACACCCAGGGGCCTTCTCAGGCTTAGGACGTTGACTCACACTCGGTGTTCCCTTCCGCCAAGGGGGAAAGTGGTGGGACTAGAAACATCAAGGATAAAGGTAGTACCCTTTCAGGAGACCCCTTCCTGTTGGGGTACGAGGTCAAGGGCAGCCTCAGCGCCCTGCATTCACACACAGTCCCAGCCTACCCTGCCCAAGCCCTAGGGGCCTGCCTTCTTCCCCTAATTACCACCCCCCCACCCCCACCCCCACCCCACCAGTCCTTTCCCCTAGTTTTCCAAGTTGCAATTAGGTGAGGCTTTTCCACTCTGGGACTTAAGGAGTAATCATGCCTGTCTTGCCTCTCCACCTCTCAGCTAGACTGCACACCCTCCGAGCCTCAGGTCCTGCACCTCACCTCCAAGTAAGCCCTGCCTCGTGACAGCCTTTCCAGCTGCCGGGGAGCTCTGGCTGTGGGTCTAAACTGTCGGGTGTCACAGGGCTGTGGCGGGGACGGGGATAGGAGAGAGTAGAGATGTCTCTCATGGTAATGGGAAGAATAGTCTTTGGCTTCAGAAAGACCTGGCCTGAGGGGTCCCAGTTCAGCTTCTCCCAGCTTAAGCTCTGTCTCCGGGTGGGGAAAGGAATGATTGCCTTGGAGGACTGTGCTGCCGGTTAGAACAGGGCAGTACACTGGCCCTCATGCAGGCCTTCTGAAACGGTGCCTGTTCTGCCTCGCCCCGGAATCCTCACCTTGGGGCCCAGGTAAGTCGCCGCCCCGCCCCGCCCCGCCCCAGGGCCTCAGAACCCCAGCCGCTGCCAGGAAGTATGTGCACAAGGGTCACAGCTTTCCACAAAAGCTCTGTGATCTGCTCCAAAAGTTAAGAGTCACTCATTACTCCGACTTCCTGTCTTACCAGGAAGAAGTGGGCCGGGAGAGGAAAGATTTGCCCCAAGTCCCAGAGCAAGCACGCAGGAAAGCTAGGGACAGCATCCCGAAGCCAAGAGATTGCCCCCACTCCCAGCCACTCGCCCGCCTCCTGGAGTTGAGGGAGGGATGGGAGGAGAGGAGCAGGTTCTGAGCACCGGGACCCCTGCCCAGGGTAGAGCGGGGTCCTCCCCAGGCACCGTTGGGGCCAGGGGACCCACCTACACTTCTTGGGAGCCCTGGGCAAGTCCTGCCCTCAAGCTTCCTCTCCACTGAGAACGGGAATTCGTGAATTGTTATGTCTTTTAAGATCACGGTCATCCCACAGACAGCTCCAGGGCTAGAAGCACCCTTCGGAGCAATCCACCTTGACCAGTGGGACAGGCCCGCTTGTCCACCCCGCCCTTTCCCATCAACCAATCTTTGAACATGGACTGACCATAGAGAGGGCATCACCTCGGGCCCAGTATTTCTCGGATTTGCTACTTCCTCGGTGTCTTCGGTGCCAGCAAGCCCATAGACCCTTCCCTGCTTGTGTGTGCCTGGGAGTCCCTGCTAGCCGGGGATACCCTGCTGTTCAGCCAGAACTGCCTTCAGAATGCAAATCGGACTCCATCAGGCCCATCGGGCGCCATTACCATCCCCCACCCCGCCCCAGTTTACACAGACTCCCACTGTACTTGAGACACAGCCAGCACGCCTTGGCAAGGCCAAGACCTCCCAGCCGCATCTCCCACTGGGTCGCCCCCGCTCTGCCCCAGCCATCTTGGCTTCTGGTGGTCCCTGCTGTCCCTAGGGTCTTTAGCTATGCAGTTCCTTTTCCTAAAAAGTTCTTTTCTCTCTTTGCTTTTTCGCTCATCCGCCCGCGCTCGGCCCAGAGGCCCCTTCCTGGCATCTCAGCCATTTAACACTCTGCACCTTCAACGACCGGGGTAGCCACACGTGAACTCTCGCTCAGGCTGAGTACTTGACAGTGTTTGCCCTGCCACCAGACTGTCAGCCCTTCGGGGCCGGGGGCTGTGTTTCTCTCCGCCCACCATTGTGTCTACCAGGACCAGAGTCCAGACTGGTGGCCACTCTGGGTTCTGTCTGGATTCACATGCAGCCAAATGCACTCTCATAGTGCCAGGAGGTGGACGGGCCCCATAAAAGTGACTGAATAAATGAATGTCAGGTAAGTCCCCCAGGGGACCCTGACCTCTCTAACACAAGAGGTGCAAAGGTGGGCAACTCCAGGACAGGAACCTGGAGACATCTACATCCGCGCTGGGAGGCAGGTGAGCCGTTAGTGGAGATAAGGAGGGCGGTGGCTGGGGGCACTTGGGAGAGGAACTCTGGCAGAGGGAGGGCCTTGGGGAGCAAGGATGTTGCCAAGGGGCAGAAGTGGGCCCACCGGGAAGGCCCGCCTAACCTTAGTCCTCCTGGGAGAGAAGGAGGCTTTGGCAGGTGAGCCGATGCAGTGATCGAGAATTCAGACCTCAGATTCAGCTGATGGACTTGAATCCTAGCTGTGTGGCTTTGAACGAGTGCCTTAACCTCTCTGAGCCTTACTTGCCTTGTCTGAGGACCACAAGATGATGTCTATTAGTAGGAGACCGATGAAGTAAATGGTGATATGCCCATCCGGCACCAGTTTGGCACAAGTAGTTAAGTGTGCTGGTTCGAGATGCAGGCAGACGGGCATAACCCCGTCATCGGCGTGACTGCAGGAGAGTTAACAACCCGTTGGAAACTTGGCTTTACAATCTATTAAATGGGAGTGACTCCCAAACCCAGCTCATACAATTGCTGAGCAGTTTAAACGAGTGTAAATTCGTGTGGGACTTTGAATTTGTAAAGGACTGGGCATTTGTGAAGGAACTGAATTCACAAAGGGCTGTGCCAGACACATCTTAGGAGTGTTAACCACCACTGTTCTCACATCATCCATACAACAGACCCCTGCCCGCCTTTAAAATAATCAATGCGATGATATCTGTTCAGTCATTCATTCACTAAATATTTACTACGTGCTGCTATGTGCCAGGCAATACTCTGGGAACGAGGTAGACCTCAGTGAAGAAAACTACAGAATCCCTGTCCTCTTGGAATTCACATTCCCACGGGGCCACAGGGGAAAAATAGTTCTGTGGAAAGTAACCTCACAGGCTGATCTGATCATAAATCCCTCACTGGGCAGGTCACAGTGGGTAGTCCTACCCCGGGGCCTGTAACTTCTTTAGTGGAAGGTTAACCTTTGCCTTCAGTAAGCCCCGTCCTTTGTGTCTATGCGTCCAGGTGACCACACCCTGGAAACGACTCTCCTCAGACCCCTCCTCCGAGAGCCGAGAGCCGGACCCCTGCCAGGGAGCGGGAATCTCGTTAACTGCCCTGTGATCCGACCCCGCCCGGCCTCCTGCCTCCTGCCTCCTGCCTCCTCCCTGTCTGTCCCCTTCCTTACTTCCCCTCTTAATCTCCAGTGCGTAAAGGGAGCAGCAGACTCCTTTCTCGAAAGCATTTTCCCCAGTCTGTTGAGGTCTTGCCCCCAGATGTATCCTCCGTTTGACGCAAATAGACTCAAAAATCCTCTCCGGGTTTGGGTGTTTCTTCCATTGGCAAGGTAGACAAAAACATACAAAAGAAGTGAATGAATTATATAGCATGTTAGTGATACATGCTCAAAAAAAAAATCAAGCATGCTAAAGGAGACGTGCCGTGGGTCGCCATCTTTTTTCTTTTAGCGTAACTTCTTAAACATTTTATTAAATGTATTGGGGTGACACTGGTTAATAAGATATGTGTCAAGCGTACAACTCCGTAATATGTCATTGGTATATTGCATCGTGTTTTCACCACCCAAAGTCAAGTCGCCTCCATCTCCATAGATTTGACCCAAAGGCTGTGATCTTAATCTGGTGCTCAGAGGAGATCCTACTGGAAGGTGACATTTGAGCAAAAAGGTGACAAAGAGGAGCAAGCAAGTCCTGCAGAGGGATAGGTACCTGGTTTAAGAGCTCCGGGGCAGAGGAACAGTAAAGGCACGAAGGTGGGTTCCGGCCTCGAGCTGACGAGGAAACGGACTGGCTGGAGCAGGAGGAGCTGAGAGGGAAGGAAGGGCAGGAGAGAAGCCGAGCCTGG